TGCCCATTCAGTATGATATTGGCTGTTGGTTTGCCATAAATAGCTTTTATTACTTTGAGATACGTTCCATCGATACCGAGTTTATTGAGGGTTTTTAGCATAAAGAGCTGTTGAATTTCGTCAAATGCCTTCTCTGTGTCAATGGAGATAATCATGTGGTTTTTGTTTTTGGTTCTGTTTATGTGGTGAATTACGTTGATAGACTTGCGTATGTTGAACCAGCCTTGCATCCCCGGGATGAATCCTACTTGATCATGGTGAATAAGTTTTTTGATTTGCTGTTGCAATCGGCTTGCCAATATTTTATTGAAGATTTTTGCATCTATGTTCATCATGGATATTGGCCTGAAGTTTTCTTTTCTTGTTGGGTCTCTGCCGGGTTTTGGTATCAGGATGATGTTGGTCTCATAAAATGATTTGGGAAGTATTCCCTCTTTTTGGATTGTTTGAAATAGTTTTAGAAGTAATGGTACCAGCTCCTCTTTGTGTGTCTGGTAGAATTCGGCTGTGAACTCGTCTGGACCTGGGCTTTTTTTGTGTGGTAGGCTCTTAATTGCTGTCTCGACTTCTGACTTGGTTATTGGTCTATTCAGTCTGTGTCTTTTGATTGGTGCATTTAGTCCACTTACATTTAGGGTTAATATTGTTATGTGTGAATTTTATACTGCCATTTTGATGCTAGCTGGCTGTTTTGCCCGTTAGTTCATGTAGATTCTTCATTATGTGGATGATCTTTAGGATTTAGTGTGATTTTGGAATGGTTGGTACTGGTTGTTCCTTTCTATGTCTAGTGCCTCCTTCAGGAGCTCTTGTAAAGCATGCCTGGTGGTGACAAAATGTCTGAGTACTTGCTTCTTTACTTATCTTTTTTTCACTTCTGAAGCTCAGTTTGGCTGGATATGAAATTCTGGTTTGAAAGTTCTTTTCTTTAAGGATGTTGAAATTTGGCCCCCACTCTCTTCTGGCTTGTAGTGTTTCTGTCGAGAGATCTGCTGTGAGTCGGATGGGCTTCCCTTTGTGGGTGACCTGACCTTTCTCTCTGGCTGCCCATAGTATTTTCTTTTTTATTTCAACCCTGGTGAATCTGGCAATTATGTGCCTTTTGGTTTCCCTTCTTGCGGAATATCTTTGTGGTGTTCTCTGTATTTCCTGCACTTGAGTGTTGGCCTGCATTGCTAGGTGGGGGAAATTCTCCTGGATAGTATCCTGAAGCATATTTTCCAGCTTGGATTCATTCTCTTCATCACATTCTAGTATACCTATCAAACGTAGGTTAGGTCTCTTCACATAGTCCCACATTTTTTGGACTTTTGTTTATTCCTTTTTGCCCTTTTTACTCTAATCTTCGTTTCTCGTTTTATTTCATTGAGTTGATCTTCAGCTTCTGATGTTCTTTTTTCTGCTTGGTCAATTCAGCTGTTCAAACCTTTGCATGCTTCACGACGTTCTTGTGTTTTTCACCTCCTTCAATTCATTCCTATTCCTCTCTAAGTTATCCATTCTTGTTATCATTTCCTCAAATCTTTGTTCAAGTTTCTTAGTCTCTTTGCATTGATTTAAACATGTTCTTTTAGCTTACAAAAGTTTCTCATTATCCACCTTCTGAAGTCTAATTCCATCATTTCGTCACAGTCATTCTCCGTCCAGCTTTGTTTCCTTGCTGGTGAGGAGTTTTGTTATTTCGTAGGAGTCGAGGTGTTCTTGTTTTGGGTGTTTTCCTCCTTTTTTTCGCTGGTTTCTTCCCATCTTTGTGGATTTATCCACCTGTCATCTGAGTAGTGGCTGACTTTTCGATTGGGTCTCTTAGTGGACGCCCAGATTGTTGATGATGTAATATTTCTGTTACTTGGTTTTTCTTCTGCCAGTCTAGCCCCTCCACTGTATGACTGCTGAGGTCCGCTCCAGGCCCTGCTTGTCTGTAGTGCACCTATAGCAGCTGCGGAACAGTGAGGGATGCTACCAGTTTCTATTTCTGCTATCTTTGTCCCAGAATGATGCCTGCCACATGTCAGTCTTCTGGATATAGAGGGTTCAGGGAGCTGCTGTACTTTATATGAGCTCAAGTGCTGATCTGTGAGTTCTGTTGTTCATTCAGGGCTTTTAAGCTATTACATTTTATTCTGCTGCAGCATAACTCATAAAAAAAACCCTTTTCTTCTCAGATGCTCTGTCTCGGCGTGTTGGGGCTTTCTTTGTGAGTGTCTGTTGCACTGCACTGCCCAGCTAGGAGGCAGTCTAGTCACTATTTGCCTGCTGAGGCTCTGCCCTGCTGGTGTGAGGTCCACCCTGTTGCTGCAGGCTCTGCCCTGCTGCTGCAGTCTCCTCCCTGCTGCAATGGGCTATGCCCTCTGGTGGAGTCTCTCAGTTGTGGCGGGTTGCCTCGGTAACAGCAGGCTAGTCAGCAATGGGACTGTACCTCAGTAGGGGTGGGTTTTCTCGGTAATGGCAAGCGCCCCTCCCCCACCGAGCTGCACCGTCCTGGGTTCAGCTGTGCCCGCAGTGAATCTCTCCACCCGGAGCATTTGGAATCGCTGTTTTGTTTGCGCCACTGTTTTGGCCTAACGCCATTTCCCTGGAATATCCTGGCCTGGCTCACTGTCCAAGTTCCATTCAATCAGATGGATATGCCAATCTGCCCTCTCAAGTCTCAGATTGCCATATCAACAGGGCACCCGGACCAGTGCACTTTGTGCAGAGCATTGTGGAGTGCCGCTGCGCTGCAGCGCTGGCTGCCGGCTGCACCGGTCGCCAGCTTCACCAGCCCAATCTGCTGTGCTGGTGTCCCGCGTCTCTTTTATACCTGAGAATTTTCCCGTTCCGTGGGCAACAAAGATCCGTCTGGAAATGCGGCCCTGAGTCATTCTCTGCGCATTCTCTGAGAGCTTCAATCCTGGGTTGTTCTCACCATGCCATCTTGAGTCGGTCCATCTCTACTTCTTAACTCTTGGTTTTGCAGAGATGGTGTATACTGTTAAGTTTCAGGATATTACTGAAATAATATCTATTTTTTATTGATTATTTACTGGAACAAATATTTGCCAGTTTAGTACATATACATATATTTCTGAACTCCAATTTATATTTAATTTCAGCAGAGTTTATTCCTTATATTCCTGCTCATTGTTTGGAACTCTCTTACACTGGTATATTTCTTACTTCTGTTTTTTTTTTTTATTGGATTTTAGGTTTTGGGGTACATGAGCAGAGCATGCAAGACAGTTGCGTAGGTACACACATGGCAGTGTGCTTTGCTTTTCTTCTCCCCTTCACCCACATTTGGCATTTCTCCCCAGGCTATCCCTCCCTACCTCCCCCTCCCACTGGCCCTCCCCTTTTCCCCCAATAGACCCCGGTGTTTAGTACTCCCCTTTCTGTGTCCATGTGTTCTGATTTTTCATCACCCGCCTATGAGTGAGAATATGTGGTGTTTCATTTTCTGTTCCTGTGTCAGTTTGCTGAGGATGATGTTCTCCAGATTCATCCATGTCCCTACAAACGACACGAACTCATCATTTCTGATTGCTGCATAATATTCCATGGTGTATATGTGCCACATTTTTCCAATCCAGTCTATTATCAATGGACATTTGGGTTGATTCCAGGTCTTTGCTATTGTAAACAGTGCTGCAATGAACATTCGTGTACATGTGTCCTTATAGTAGAACGATTTATTGTCTTTTGGATATATACCCAGTAATGGGATTGCTGGGTCAAATGGAATTTCTATTTCTAAGGCCTTGAGGAATCGCCACACTGTCTTCCACAATGGTTGAACTAATTTACACTCCCACCAACAGTGTAAAAGTGTTCCTTTTTCTCCACATCCTCTCCAGCATCTGTTGTCTCCAGATTTTTTAATGATCGCCATTCTAACTGGCGTGAGATGGTATCTCAATGTGGTTTTGATTTGCATCTCTCTGATGACCAGTGACGATGAGCATTTTTTCATATGATTGTTGGCCTCATATATGTCTTCTTTCGTAAAGCATCTGTTCATATCCTTTGGCCACTTTTGAATGGGCTTGTTTGTTTTTTTCCTGTAAATCTGTTTGAGTTCGTCGTAAATTGTGGATATCAGCCCTTTGTCAGATGGGTAGACTGCGAAAATTTTTTCCCATTCTGTTGGTTGCCGATCCACTCTAGTGACTGTTTCTTTTGCCGTGCAGAAGCTGTGGAGTTTCATTAGGTCCCATTTGTCTATTTTGGCTTTTGTTGCTAATGCTTTTGGTGTTTTGTTCATGAAGTCCTTGCCTACTCCTATGTCCTGGATGGTTTTGCCTAGATTCCTTCTAGGGTTTTTATGGTGCCAGGTCTTATGTTTAAGTCTTTAATCCATCTGGAGTTAATTTTAGTGTAAGGTGTCAGGAAGGGGTCCAGTTTCTGCTTTCTGCACATGGCTAGCCAGTTTTCCCAACACCATTTGTTAAACATGGAATCCTTGCCCCATTGCTTGTTTTTGTCAGGTTTATCAAAGATTGTATAGTTGTATGTATGTTGTGTTGCCTCCGGTGTCTCTGTTTTGTTCCATTGGTCTATATCTCTGTTTTGGTACCAGTACCATGCTGTTTTGATTACTGTAGCCTTGTAGCATAGTTTGAAATCCGGTAGTGTGATTCCCCCCGCTGTGTTCTTTTTGCTTAGAATTGACTTGGCTATGCGGGCTCTCTTTTGGTTCCATATGAAGTTCATGGTGGTTTTTTCCAGTTCTGTGAAGAAAGTCAATGGTAGCTTGATGGGGATAGCGTTGATTCTGTAAATTACTTTGGGCAGTATAGCCATTTTCACGATATTAATTCTTCCTAACCATTATTTCTTACTTCTTACCTTCAACATAGACTTCTTATACTTCTTAGACCTCATATTTTGCCTCATGGGAAGCTATGCTTGGTAATTCACTGATAGTGTCTTGAAAAATTATTAATGTACACTGCAGTCTTACAAAATACTTGCTGAATGAATTGTTTAGCCAATAAATGCCTGCTAATATATTGTATTTGCAGGTGAAATGCATAGATGTTGTTCAGGCCTATATCAACAGAATCAAGGATGTGAACCCAATGATCAATGGAGTTGTCAAGTACAGGTGAGTGTTTTCACTCTCTCAAGGAGTCATTAATGGTGGTTTTTGTTTTACTTCTATCGTCATGACAGTCTTATCATATTTCCTGAATTTTTCTATGTGTCCTTCCCTTGTTTTCACTGGGAACTTCTCTGACATATAATTTTTGTATTTTGTCTTTTGTTGAGTGTTTATAAGTATTTGTCTGCAAGCCTCCTCCTATTAACTGTAATATTCTTGATGGCAAGGACTAAATTTTATTGGTTTTGCATATTCAACATCCAGAACAAGGCTAAGGTTTGGTTGGCATCATCAAGCTTTTAGCAAATGAATTAATATTTGTTAGTGACTCTAATAGTAGAACCCGACCTCCCACGGACACATTTTCCAATGTGTATTTAGCATAGTTGATAGTATTTCATATAGATATCATATATGTTACTTCCATGTCTCTGCTAAGTAAACACTCCTCAGCAGCTCTGAGGTATTAGAGGGCCAAAAGCTTGGATTACTCTTTCTGTAATATTCTATTTAATGGGTAGCACAGTTATTCTTAGCACACCACGACATATGGTGCCACTGTGTAGATCTCAGCCATTCATGTACCATCTTTAGGATTTTTTTCTTGTTTGCATATCAACTCTGTTGTTGTTAATATACTTATTAAAATGGAGTCACTTATCCTAATTTAATCATTTAAAAATGAAACGTTCTCTCACAACTCATATAAAAAACTTACCATTTAACATGGATTGTTAATGTAATTTGAATGAAAACTAACCAATATTATGAAATTATAAACACAAACTATTTTAATGAAATATAATGACTGCATCAAATGTATTTGTATCATGGTAGATTCCTTATTTTTATTTTATTTTGTGTTTTCCTTTTTTTGAAATTGTATTTTAGATTTGGGAGTACATGTGAAGAACATACAAGATTGTTGCATAGGTACACACATGGCAGTGTGATTCGCTGCCTTCTTCCCCATCACCTATATCTGGCATTTCTTCCCATGCTATCTCTTCCCGACTCCCCACCCCCTGCCGTCCCTTCCCTATTTCCCCCAGACAGACCCCAGTGTGTGATGCTCCCTTCCCTGTGTCCATGTGTTCTCATTGTTCAATATCCGCTTATGAGTGAGAACACGTGGTGTTTGATTTTCTGTTCTTGTGACAGTTTGCTGAGAATGATGGTTTCTAGGTTCATCCATGTCCCTATAAAGAACATGAACTCATCATTTTTTATGCTGCATAGTATTCTATGGTGTATATGTTCCACATTTTCCCTGTCCAGTCTATCATCGATGGACATTTGGGTTGGTTCCAGGTCTTTGCTATTGTAAACAGTGCTGCAATGAATGTTTGTGTGTATGTGTCCTTATAGTAGAACGATTTATAATCCTTTGGATATATACCCAGTAAGGGGATTGCTGGGTCAAGTGTAATTTGTATTTCTAGGTCCTTGAAGAATCACCACACTGTCTTCCACAATGGTTGACCTAATTAACACTCCCACCAACAGTGTAAAAGTGTTTCTATTTCTCCACATCCCCTCCAGCATCTGTTGTCTCCAGATTTTTTAATGATCATTATTCTAACTGGTGTGAGATGGTATCTCAATGTAGTTTTGATTTGCATCTCTCTAATGACCAGTGATGATGAGCATTTTTTCATATGATTGTTGGCCTCATGTATGTCTTCTTTTGTAAAGTGTCTGTGCATATCCTTTGCCCACTTTTAAATGGGCTTGTTTGTTTATTTATTGTAAATCTGTTTATTTCTTGTAAATTTGTTTATTTCTTGTAAATCTGGATATCAGCCCTTTGTCAGATGGGTAAACTGCAAATTTTTTTTCCCATTCTGTTGATTGCTGATTCACTCTAATGACTGTTTCTTTCACCGTGCAGAAGCTGTGCAGTTTGATTAGGTCCCATTTGTCTATTTTGGCTTTTGCTGGGAAAATAACATGGACGCTTTTGGTGTTTTGGTCATGAAGTCCTTGCCTACTCCTATGTCCTGAATGGTTTTGCCTAGATTTTCTTCTAGGGTTTTTATGGTGTTAGGTCTTATGTTTAAGTCTTTAATCCATTTGGAGCTAATTTTAGTTTAAGGTGTCAAGAAGAGGTCCAGTTTCTGCTTTCTGCACATGGCTGAGAGATAATAGTACAAAAACTGGTTCAACATTGCATAGTCATTGCGGTCTTGATTGTGTCACCCACCAGACTGTTAGTTTTTCAATGGCAAGGGACCATATCTTTTTTATATCTTATTGTTTTCAGTGTCTAGAACATGATCTTATATGTAGCATTTTTTTAGTAAGTAACAAATTAATGTACCTGTGTTTAGACAATATCTGTTTTGGAGCTCCTGAATGCAGTTTTGTCGAACACTCTGCAACCTGCTGTCTTCCTATATCTTCCTGGATTATGACTTATTGTTCACTGTTTTTCTTGCTTGCCTGGAAAAGTACAAATTTGTTACTAATTTTAGACTTTCCTCCCTGGAGCATCTACTGTTATTCATTTCATCCGATAGGTATATGCTTTCCAATCTTTGAATGACATAGGCAATGGTCAAGGCAAACTTTCTGGGAGCCCTGAAGTCCAGAGATTTCAAGATTCAAAATAAACACAAAATCACACAAACCTGGGACAAAACTCTTCCTCTGTTAGTTATTATATTAGCATAGGCATGTTTTTGAATCTCTTTGAATCTTTGTTTTATTCTTTCTTAAGTGGGAAAACAACATGGACACTCAAAGTTTATAGTTTCACAAATTTAAATGCTTGAAAACTCTTTCATTCATTCTCACAAATGGTTATTGAATGCTTGCTATATGCCTCCTAGTGTGCTAGGTGTTGAATATGTAAGATTAGCAAAACAGCCCCTGACTTCTTTCACCTCCCAGTCTGGTGGTTGAAGCACACAAGTAACCATTATTTACAGCACAGTGGAATTAGTGCTCTGATAGGGGAAGAAAAGAGTACTATGGGAGCATAGAGGTCACTAATCAAACACTGGAGAGGTGTCAGGAAAGGCTTCTTGGAGAAAGTAATGCAATATGTTGCTTTCCACTAAAAAGCTATTCAAGAGGTGGGATCCTTTTTGGATTTTATTTCCCTACTACTGGCTGTACTCGAATCACTGAGCAAATGCAGAATTTCAGGATATGTCGATTTTTAAAAAACCCTCTCAGACCTCAGTAAAGTATTTCACTCAACCCACACTGGCCAGCCTATGCATCATCTGGTGCCACAGCCACCCTTAGGCCCTATACTCTTTTTGTTTCCATAGAAGCAATGGTAAAGTTTTTTGGCTGAGGTGCCTTGTTTTAGCTTGGTTGAAACTATGGGGATTTCCTTGGTCTCAGGAGTCCAGTGCTGCCCTGTGGCACTGAGGCCACATAGAAGGGTATCCAAATTGCTTTATGCCTTTATCAACCTTCCCTTGGAAGTTCTCTGCTTGTGTCTGAAGTTTGGGCAATGCTAATGAAGGGTATTTCAAGACCTTAGGAGAGTGCACATAGTTAAGGCACCTTTTCTTCATCCTTGGAAAAAACAGGACTGGGGAGGCTGACCGTCCTGCCTCACCTAGTTGGGAAACTCCTGGAAGCCAAGTGTTGCAGAAACCATGTCTTGCATAAACAA